CTTTCCTTGTATGTGTTGTATATTTGGGTTCAGGTTGTGGAGGTAGCGCATTGGACGCTTGCGGAGAAGAGTACATGATAGAGTAGTAGATAATATGTAATTGATATGTTATATGATAAATATTTGTAATATGAAGAACATGTTAAAGTGAATTCATGTATAAACAACTTTCTTGTAAGTGTATAATGAAGTGGATCTAATGTTTGTATTCAAGGTACTTTTGAGAAAGTGTAATTGTATAAAGGATGTATTTGAACAGAAGTGTATTGACATGCTTTTGAAATGAAAGGTGTTTGGAATATTTCCGCATTGTAAATTTATAAACGTATTCACTCAACTTTCCAAACTGTTCGAGTAATGTCTTTCAAAAGTAATCACTTCACTTTCACGAATAAGGATTTTAAAAGAGAATTTTCGAGTTATGAAAATCGGGGTCCTTACAATTATCCCATTACATCAACCACTTCTACCACCACACAATGTAGTAGAAGGGGATTACCAGCTCCTAGCCTTGATTGGACACATGAAACCATTGATTCACTAATCTTACCACATGGGGTCAATCAAACATTCATTACCATTAGTCAATACCCCGAAGGGCAAGTTAGTCATTGCTCCAAGAGCCAATACCACAAGGGAAAGTCAGTCACTATACCACGAAGGGCAAGTCAGACACTATACCACGAAGGGAAAGTCAGTCACTATACCACGAAGGGCAAGTCAGTCACTATACCACGAAGGACAAGTCAGTCACTATACCACGAAGAGCAAGTTAGGCACTATACCACGAAGGGCAAGTTAGGCACTATACCACGAAGGGAAAGTCAGGCACTATACCACGAAGGGCAAGTCAGGCACTATACCACGAAGGGCAAGTCAAACACTATACCACGAAGGGCAAGTCAGGCACTATACCACGAAGGGAAAGTCAGGCACTATACCACGAAGGGCAAGTCAGTCACTATACCACGAAGGGCAAGTCAGGCACTATACCACGAAGGGTTAGTCAGTCACTATACCACGAAGGGCAAGTCAGTCACTATACCACGAAGGGCAAGTCAGTCACTATACAACGAAGGGCAAGTCAGTCACTATACCACGAAGGGGAAGTCAGTCGTTATACCACGAAGGGCAAGTTAGTCGCTATACCACGAAGGGCAAGTCAGTCGCTATACCACGAAGGGCAAGTCAGACACTATACCACGAAGGGCAAGTCAGACACTATACCACGAAGGGCAAGTCAGGCACTATACCACGAAGGGCAAGTCAGGCACTATACCACGAAGGGCAAGTCATGCACTATACCACGAAGGGTAAGTCAGACACTATACCACAAAGGGCAAGTCAGTCATTATACCTATACATATTCAGAAATTCCACACAATTTCTATCGTCATATGTAATTAACAACTTCTCCTTATCTTAATAGAAGTCCTGAGTCCCTTAGACGACACTGGCTCCATACAACTAGACTAGTCAGAAATCTCACACCGATTATCAAATACCACAACCTTGTCAGCACTATTCAAATAACATGATTTGCTGACTATTATTCCATTCCCAACATTTAAATCTAATGGGGACAACGACCAATAGGTTGAATCTACGGTAATTGTTCTTCCTTTTACCACTACCGGGCACCACAACATAAACGTCGATACTACCACCATTATTCGAGTTGGGATGGTTACGACTAAGTCGAAACACCACGACTTCGTCCGTAAAAATTCAATCAGTCTACACATTCCTTAGATGCAAAGGAGTTTGTTGCTCCTGAGTCAAACAACACTAAAAGGAAATACTTGCCACCATAAATTTACCTTGGTTCGGACCGTCAACATCGGATGTCTCCGTGCCTCTCGTAGTGAATACCCGGCTTGTGGTCTTAGGCCTATCAGCCCTCACAGCATTCACGCCTCTATTCAGCTTTGGGAAAAACCTCTTCATATGCCCCAATTGCTTACAGTGGAAACAACAATTCCTAGAACCATGACAAATGGGCCCCACGTGCTTCCGCCCACATTTTCCGCATAAGGGAAAAGAGTCATGTGGAAACTCCCAATCAGTAGGCGTTGACCCTTGGGAGTCACGGTTGCGATGGCTGTTAGGTGAGGGATAAGGCCGTTGGTTGTAACACCCTAAATTTGAGTCTTTAAAATTATAGTATCAGTCCTAGAAGTCTCGCTTGAGCGAGAGATTCTCGCCTGAGCGAGAAAGGATCCCCTAGGAGGGTGAAATCCTGGGCTATACTAGAGGATTCTCGCCTGAGCGAGAGTTGTCTCGCCTGGGCGAGAAATGGCAATTTGGGGTTGTTGACACTGTGAGATTCTCGCTTGAGCGAGAATCTCTCGCTTGAGCGAGAATCCCTCGCTTGAGCGAGAGCGTCAGATCTGAAATTTTAAAAAGGCGGGATTTTCTCGCCTGAGCGAAAACCCGACGACTCATCTTTAAAATAGAAACCCCAAACATATTTTATGGTTAGAACTTTGAAGAGAAGAGAGAGAATAGAGCTTTTCAAGAGCAAAGAGCCTTAGGACTCATCTTAGAGCTTGAGAAGAGGTAAACCTCTTGTTTCTAACTCTTCTTCTTCCTCTCTAACTTGTTCTGGGTATGTTGGATCTATTTTCAAAATATGAGAAACCAAGGAAACTCATCCTTTAGAGTTACAGTTCGTTTTATGTTGTTTTTCTCTTGTAAAATCTTGGTTTAGAGTTGATATTTGATGAATGGAAAGGTTTTGTGGGTTATTCATGAAAACCTCAAAAAAAACCCCAAAATGAGAATATGAGTATAAAGAGAAAGAGATGAAATGTTAGATGTGGATGATGAGTTTGTGCATTGATGTTGATATATGAGATAAACATGTATGTTTAGATGTTTGGAAACTTGTATTGAAGTAGTTTTGGAAATCTTGAATATATGTGAATCTCTTGTATGTTTGAGGGTGAAATACGAGTTGTTTATGTGTTATTTTGAATAAATGACTGACATTGTTGTTATTGGTGGAAATGAGGAAAGATCCTAAGGTTGGAGGAAATCGCGGAGGAGACTTTTAAAGTTACTCGGAACCGATCCCCAACACTCACCAAGGTAAGGGATAAGTGTCTCTAAATCATACTCGCTGATATGAATGAGGTATGTGGAAGAGGTAATATGTTTGTAAGAATGCTGTTGATACCCTACCCGAAGAGGTAGTGGTTTATTGTGGATACCCTACCCGAAGAGGTAGTGGTTTATTGTGGATACCCTACTCGAAGAGGTAGTGGTTTATTGTGGATACCCTACCCGAAGTGGTAGCGGTTTGTTATTGTGTCCTACTCGGAGTGGTAGTGGACTGTTATTGTGTCCTACCCGGAGTGGTAGTGGACTGTTATTGTGTCCTACCCGGAGTGGTAGTGGACTGTTATTGTGTCCTACCCGGAGTGGTAGTGGACTGTTATTGTGTCCTTCCCGGAGTGGTAGTGGACTGTTATTGTGTCCTATTGGGAATGGTAGTGGATTATTGTGAACTCGACCTGCCCGACGTGGTATGGAGTAATAACTCGACATGCCCGATGTGGTATGGGGTAATAACTCGGCCTGCCCGATGTGGTATGGGGTAATAACTCGGCCTGCCCGATGTGGTATGGAAAATGAAATCGATGAATACGATCAAGTGTGAATATGAATGATGAAAAATGTGGATGTCACAATGAATGTCATATGCATGCTATAGGATATATATTATGGGATATATATTCTATAGGGTGAATATGAATGATGCGAAAAGGGAATGTCACAAAGAGAGTCATATGCATGCTATAGGATATATAGTATGTGATATATATTCTATAGGGTGAATATGAGCGATAAAAAGGAAGATGTTGAGAATGAAAGTAATATACATGCTATAGGATATATATTATGGGATATATATACTATAGGGTGGATATGAATAATGAGAAGGATGATGTTTCGAATGAACGTAATATGCATACTATAGAATATATATTATGGGATATATATACTATAGGATGAATATGAGTAAAGTGGAAATTAAAGGAAGATGATATGAATGTTTACAGTTACGCATGTGTGTTTACGAGTTATATTAAAGATTAATCGTATTTGAAATGTGGATTATCATGTGATGTTAGTTTTTGAACTAATGACTTACTCCCTTTTGTTTTGTGTGTTATTTATGATAATCCCATTGTAGGTAAATGATGGATTTTGAGAAGGAAGCTCACTTAGGAAGCTTTTGTGTTTATTAACTTGATTTTCTTTATTGCTACTTGACGTTGTAGTTAATTTGATTACATTATGGGATGAATGTAAATTTGATTAGGGAAATACGGAGATATGTAGTTATGGACGTTATAACTCTGGAAAATCCATAACTGGTTGTATGCGATAACTGTTGATCGAATGAATTATGTTTACTTGCTATCAAGTAAGTAACAAGTAAAGAGGGGCAGCTGTGAACACCCAATTTTGTCCGGCCTAATTACGAAACTAAAATAGGAGACCAATCTATTGAGGTTTTTTTTTATATAGTAAACACGACACAAAATTTATGTTTCACAATATATATGTACTTTTACTTTGTTATTCTGAATGTGAATGTAAATTTTGTTCTAATATATTTTGTTACATGTAATTTATTTTTGTGTGTGTACGATTAGAAGAGATTGTTAGAAAATTAGGATATAATGGGGTTTCTACAACTGTTTTATGTTGCTTCTTTACCTGTGATCAAAGTATTATTGGTTAGTGCAATTTGTTTGTTCCTTGCATTGGATCACATAAATATATTAGGAGAGGATGCAAGAAAGCAAATGAATCATACATCATTTTTTCAAATGGAATACTAATTGCTACTATACACTCATATTGAGAAAACAGTATAGGAATACATGAACTGAAATTCACTAAACATTAAGTTGAGATATGGGAATTCTGATAGGACTTTGTACCAATAAAATGTATACAAATTCAGATAAAGAAAGTCTTATTCAGCTCTACTTTCATGATTGTTTTATTCAAAAGGTAGAACAACTTATATGCTTCAAGAGCTTCAAGCCATCACACTCGCCTCTTTCCAATACTACACTTACACATTATCAATGACATCAATGGTGGCGGAATATATGGTTCCAGAATGTTGTTGGAGGAGCATTAGATGAACTAAGTTTCATTGCATATGGTGATATGGCAAGACTCTTCTTGAGGATTCGTATGAAAACTACAAGCAGCCAAGAGTATAAAATTAGTCAGCCAGAGAAGTTAACCAAAAGCCTTTTAGTTTCTTATGCTTAAAGAGCATTGACAAGCAGAAATAATTTGAAGAGACAATAATCAGCAATGAGGAGCAATTTTTAATGAGTGGTTGAATAATTAAAAGGGAGGGGGCTAAACAAACCAAAAGCCTCTAAAAAATGCAAATCAGACAATTATGCCTTATTAAACACAATCTGGAATATACACCAGCCGAGAAATACAAGGGATTCCAAAAAATGGGCAGTTACACTTCAAAATTTAAGATTAGCATCAATAGTAGCAATTAGGGACAGTTGGAAAGAATAACCAGGAAAGCAAAAGTCATGGCATATCACTGACTTTCAAGGCTTCACATACTCAACTATAAATACAAGGCATAAAGCAACTCCTAAATCTGAAAATTGGCAATCTCAAATAAACAATCTCATCATTCACCATCTACATAGTCCCAACTCCAACCTTTGACAACCAACGCACCCTTTGATAACACAATACATATCACATACACTATCTACAACATCAAGCCACCTATCCATACACAACAAAACTGAAATCAAAGGGGGATATACATATCACAGGCCAACAATCATAGAACCATATAAACACACTCATACATACAACAATGAAACCACACATACAAACCAGAGGGCACACACCACATTCATAGGCAATTGCTATACAAGAGAGTAACCACTTATACAGCATCATACCGCAACAAATATCAACGAGGGTCAACAGAATATCAACGAGGGTCAACAGAATATCAAAAGGGGCTAACATACAAGGCAAAAGGTAAAGAACACACTCTGATATCAAACAAGCAGTCAAAAACAGTACAACAGAGACGCATTCATCGATACCACATCTACGGCAACCAAAGAAGAAAATACCTACCGGACATACATCATACACATACCATATGACAAATCAGTTAGCAATTAGAGATGTCAAAATAAAGGAGGGTAAACGAAAAGGGGTGGTAACATACCTTTCGAACTACCATTATAATGGGTGGTTCTTGCTGAGCGAGTTCGATTGGGGTAGCTTCCTTCCACCTTCACGGTTTAGATTCAATTCAGGTTGGAAATCACCGCATATCATCATCAAGGGTCGCATAACATAATTGGAGAAAGATAACTCGCCATCATCGCCATTAATGGCTTTCCTAGTCGTCGTCGCTGCCTTTCGTCACAACCTCCGCTACTGCCTGGCGTTGTCGTCGCTACCGAAATCGTCACCGGAGAGAGCACCACCGTCGCTAAGGAGAAACGAGATAGAGGAGAAGAGATGTAGCCGCCGGATTACCAGTGACTTGCCGTCGTCCATTTTGTTGCCGCCGCTGCCGGAAAAGAAGAGGATGAAGGAGATAATTTAGGGATTTGATTCCCTTTTGGAACACTGCGCCGGGATGAGGATCCCATGCTGTTGGGAGCGTTCTTAGTCAAGAACCACCACAAACCGCCGCGGAAATCGTGGTTTCGCCGGATTGAGTTGATGTTGCTTGAGAAAGAGTCTATATATAGTGCTTCATTGACAACTCAATATTTCAAAAATCATGTGTTGTTCTCTCTATAATCGTTAGACATCAACTATTGACACTATAGTCGATTATATGATCCAACTATTTGGTTCAATGTTGCTTTGAAATTTATTTTCATAATAAATAATCGATTATGGATAAATGATGATCAATTATCAGCTATTGAAAATAGATAACCCATTATAACTAATATTTAATTGATTACCTAGTAACAAAAAACTAAAAATTAATTGTATTTAAAGGTTTGCAACTTCACACAACTCATCAGAAACCCAACTTCTAATTTCATCATTTTCATTTTTCAAATTATTTGGGTTCGAGGTTCCATGAACCAAGAGAGAAACGCATGCACTTCTTTATCATTTCTATTCTACAATCATAATATGCATTGTCATGTCAATTGATCAGAGCTTGAGTGTAGACTTATGTTATTCATATTGTTGTATCTCAGTATATCATGGTACATCATCTACAAAAAGAATAGTTTATTCTTTTTTAAATAAAAATAGATATTTGAGGAGTGTGGTAACTCCCCAAAGGAGATTAGATGAAGATTAAGTGGTTGTTTCTCTAAGAATTTTAGGGCAATTAATTCTACGTAGTGATAAACAATTGATTCTACACAGTGAAAAATCCTTGTATTAGAAATGGGGACTGGATACTGAATTAATGGTTTGGAATGAACCAGAAAATTATGTATGTAATTTTCTTTATCCTTTAACTCTAAACTTTGATTAAGTTGATTTTTAGTTTGGTGTTGATAATTAAACTATAATCAATTATCTTGTTGAATAATTGAATATGCACTGTCTATAGTAAATTATTAAATAATCAGCAAATGAAAATAGTTGTTCCATAATCGTTTGTTAGTTGATTATCTCGGATAATTTTGTATGTGTGTATTGAAGCAGCGAAATAACCTCAACACCTCCCCATTGTAGATGTGTGTAAATCACTTGTATACCAAACAACCTAGTGTTTTGATTAACATATCAGTTGTCCAATTATTTGAGTAAGTATGTTTGTTATGCACATTTCTTGTGTTTAATAATGATTTAATTATTAGATATTATGTTGGTACTATGAAAATATGAAATTTTATACTCTCTAACTGATGACAACCTTAGGGGGTGATTGCCTTTTTGACAATTCTCCTTTTTGAGAGAACTGCTTGGACCGTTTCTTGCTTGGAACTCTTTAACTTTTATTGAATTGTACTTGAAATTTTAAGGTTTTGCGGAAGTGTTTATGATTTGGCTTCGGGTTGATAAGTGTTTAAAGGTCTAGGAAATAGAATGTGGATGGGGGATATGAGATGGTGGGGCGTCACAAACACTAAGTGTTTGATAAGCCTGCAAAGTTTGCCACAAGCCACCTAGGTAACTTGATATGAACGGTTTCTTGGCTTGGCCAAGATTGCTAGGAGATTCACTCACTAACTCAGGGAATTAAAATTCGAAAATCAACTCTAACTTTTATTAATGCCTAAACGAAATACATATAGAAGCCAGGATTAGGGTTCCACAAGTTGGGCCTCAAATCCACACAAGATAATGCTAAATTTAGACTAATATAATTCAAAGCTAAAAACTAGGAGAAATTCAAACTAAGTCAAAACCTAATTCTATCTTCTCCTTGGCGGCTTGACTTAGATGGTGTGGCACTTGCTTTTGAATTGTTGGCCACGTGTGGCTGCCTTGGAATAGGCTTGGCCAAAATTCAAGGAATCCTTATTTTGGAAGGATTCTTGATAAGCCACTTGAAGATAAGCCTAGATTAAGTCCTTAGGAGACTTTATCTCTCCATCGAAGTTGGTGGCTTGTAGATGGATTGGTTTTGACTTGTCCTAAAATTAAGGAATCCTTATTTTGGTAAGGATCCTTGATGAGACACTTGGTCATCTTTGACTCATAAAACTCGGCTTTGATAGCTTCATCTTTATCTCAAATTTGAATTCAAACTTGAACTCAAAATTTGGAATTTCAATTTCCTTCCCTTTTGCTTTTCATTTTGATTTCCCTCCTAGCTTATTCATTTGGCTTGACCTCCTGGCCTTGGCTTTGTGATTGCCCATGACCGAGAAAACTGGGGTGCCTAGCTGACTTGGCTTATGACCGAGAAACCCAGGGTGCTTGACTGATTTGGCTTCTGACCGAGAAAATTGGGGTGCCTGGCTGACTTGGCTTTTGACCGAGAAAACCGGAGGCTGGCCTGACTTGGGGTCTGACCGAGAAATCCGGAAGGCTGGCCTGACTTGGCTGACTTGGATTTCTGACCGAGGCTTGTTGGCCTGACCTTGTCTTGGCTTGGGCTGAGGTGTCTTTGGGCTTAGTCCTGAAACACTTAGCAAACAATCACCTTCTTCTATACATCTTAAGCAACATAATTAAAAATACTTAAAATAAATTAAAGCAAGAATTAAACTAAACCTAATTGCATGTGGGTTAAGTTTTGGCCCACTTATTGAAAGCATGTAGAAAGGCAAGCTAGGTAGCTGCCTTGAGGTCGTGGCCTCCTAAGTCCTCCTCTTGAACTATGAAGTGAATGGGCCTAAAATTGGTGATGGCCCCTTGGTCTGACTCAAGGGTTTGCCCACGAGTCTTTCAAGGGCTAGTTTAGCCCTTTTGGCCTTGGCTCGGGTCATGGGACCCCCTAGGCCTTGTACGGACTTATCATCCATGATATTGGTGTGTGTAAATCACTTGTATGCCAAACAACCTAATGTTTTGATTAACATATCAACTGTCCAATTATTTGAGTAAGTATGTTTGTTATGCACATTTCTTGTGTTTAATAATGATTTAATTATTAGATATTATGTTTCTTAGAAAGAGAAATTTAGTACTATGGAAATATGAAATTTTATACTCTCTAACCAACTTGCATACGAAAATAAGTCGAATTCATGTACATAAAGTAATAGTAAGAATCATCTTAGCTGTGTGTATGAATTCTCATTAAAGTCTTTAGTTAATAACAAAGAGAGAAGTCGTTCTTAAATCAAGGAGGAAAAATATGGATATATTGATTCCAACATATTGAATGTTAAGTCGGACATGACACGATATATAGTGTATTCATGCAATCCTTCTTGGTATCAAGGCTCAATGAACCAATGCGTTTAATGATTATTCAAAACAAACACTATGAAAACTGCTAGGACATTATCTGAAATAGTTGAAGCTCGTATGTAAAGGAAAATATACAAGAATACATGAAAATACAAGTGAATCAGGATTTACATTTGTAATATTAAGATTTATTTCTTAGTGAGTCATATGCTCAAGTGAACTTTGTAATGAATTACTAAGATCAATATACAAAATGTGTCGAGTTGTCAGAACCTGAAGATACTTGTTAAGTAAAGAATACGTAGTTGTTAAAGTCTAAAGAGGTTGATACAAGAAAGAATATTTTTTTGAAGAGGTGTTAGATATAGTAAGCTATTAGGGAAATAGTAGAAAATCCTTGGAGGAAAAGGACTAGACGTAGCTATTAAAAGTGAATTAGTATACAAATTCTTGTGTTATTCTCTCTAATCTTTAACACTTTACTAATTATAATTATTTATAAGGGAAATTGAACTTGTTAAAAGTTAATATTTTTAAAACAGTTGATCAAAATAGTCATTCAACTCACCAAAACTTACATCTTTGTTATAGATTGTTTCTTGATAAAAGTATCCACAATATATTGTTTGATTTCTACAGTTGGTATTTCTTGGCTCTGGTTATCCCAGCAACACTTTCCTATTGTTAGGGTCTTATGTGATTCAATTCCTATGCCATAACAACATTGTTTCTAGTGGGTCTCACTTCGAAGTGGGTCTGATAGTGAAAGGATGACTGAGACCATGATTGTAGCAAGTTTAGAGAAACAAATGGGTATGTGCAGTGGGGAAATATTATAGCAGGAGTAACGTTGCAGCACAAGTAATGCAATAGTTGGGGAGGATTAATGCAGCATGTGTATTTCTGTAAGTGTGAAAGTGGGTATGTGCAGTAGGGAAAGAGAGAGAAAAGAGTGTTACAAGAAGACTAAAAGAGAATATTGCAGGAAGACTATAACAGAGTATTGCAGGAGACAGCAGTAGAAAAGGATTAATGCAACAAGAATATTTATGTACATGTCGAGAGAAAGAAGTGGAAATATTTTTGTTATTTGAGTAGGTTTGTTTTTTTCCACTACACTTCAATTCTGCCATTTGATAGAAATGTGAGTTGATAACTTGATATGGTTTTATCCAAGGGCGATACTACTTGTGTAATGATAGGTACCCAAAAATTCTTAAAAGTAGCTTTTTCACATGTAATCTTTTGAAAAATAATAAACTCTTTAACTTTACCCCATTAAGTAAAGTATTGTTTTTGTATATCCACCTCAAAAATCTTGAAAGGATATTTCCATCATTGTTGATAAATCTTCAACACAGTTTTCATTATTATATCCTGCATGAAGAAGTTCATGTATATGCAAAGATTGCTGGGAAGGTATCCATGTTATGTATTTATCATAATTCAAATTGGAAACATGTTTGCGAGACAAAAGCATCAACAGCCGAGAATTTGGAATCTACCAAAGAAAACAACCTTGAAACAAGCACAAAGCCTGTGAAACTCAAATGAGAGGCCTTACTCTTATTAAAAGCAAAAACAGTTAGCAAG